CAGGAACTTGAATGCGCTGTAACTAGGATCAGGAATGCTTTGGAAAGTTGGTTTCGTTCTTTCCCTTTTTTTGTTTTGTTTTGTTGTTTTTTAAAGATTTTTACATTAGGGTCCTTGCATCCCCTGGAACGGGAAGAGAGAAAGGGAAAGTGAGAAATCGCCCTCTGGGGGGAAATAGCCACAATGCAGTCCTTTCTCCTGCATTCTCCTCTCAGGATTTTGGGCACACACACACATGTACCTGGTGTGTTTCTCAAGCCCCCGGTTTCAGGACTCAAACTGTACAGCTGACCATGTGGGATCCAGCGTTTTAACCACCATGCCACCCACGAGCCTGGGAAGTTTGCCTTAGTTTACACTTTTTCATTGACTACTCTGAAGAAATTTAGAGTCTCTGTAAACTTAAGATATTATGTTAACATGGTGCAGTTTTAAGATCTATTGTCTTGTCAGATTTCAGACTCATTGAGCCTGAATTATGATACCATGCTTATATAATAATGAAGATCACCCTAAGGTTAATAAGAAACAGTTTCTCAGATGTACTAATTTTTTTAATTATTTTTCCTGTGACTTTGAGACATAGCAAAAGAAAAACAAAAAACTATTCTAGGATTTAATGAATGATATTTCTCTTACTTATTCATGGGGATGTGGAGGACATAAAGACTTATAAAGTCTTAGGGTCAGCAGGTGGTGTGATGATTAAGCTGCTGGACACCCATGTGGCCAACCATGGTTCAAGTCCCGTATCTGATGGCTTGAAAAATCACTCCAGGTGTATGTGTGTGCATGCCCAAAATCCCAGGAGGAAAATGGAGGAGAAGGGATTGCAACATGGCCATCCTCCAGCCCTGGGGGGTGATTTCTCATTTTCTCTCTCACTGTCTCTCTCTCTCTCTCTCTGATAAGTACATGTACCTTATGGCAGAAACCTAAAAAAAGAAGGAAAAAAAAAGAATTATAAAGTCTTTTGATAATTTATTTAAATGATATTTTGATAAATGTATTTAAAGATAAATTTTCTTTTTTTTCCTTCATAGTCAATTGGTGTCAACACTGGTTTGAATATTTTCCTAATCCTCCCATCAATATTCTAAGTATGATAGAAAATGTTTTGGCATTTCATGACAAGGAACTGCTACAACACTTCATAGATCATGATATAACTTCCCAGGTAAGAAACAAGTTTTGTAGAATAAATAACCATTTTAGAAGCTAACATTGGTTCTGGTACTGTATAGTAAATTTAAAAAATAATAATAAATAAATAATAAACAAAACAGTATTTCATTGAAGGGGTATAATAAAAAGCATATTACATTTTGTATATTTAATATATTCCTTTTTTCTTCATTGAACTGTCTTCCTAAAAGTCTATAAAGAAAGGCAGAAATTAAGATAGTTCTTTTCGTAATTGTGTATTTAAATGTATTTAATATAGCGGTTTTCATAGCTTACATCAAATGCAAGAGAGTATTATCAATGATTCTGTTTTGGCTTTTCCCTAGAAAACTAACACATTTTTCCTTATTCATTTTAGCTGTATGCGTGGCCTCTTCTTGAAACTGTGTTCTCAGAAGTACTGACAAGAGAGGAATGGCTAAAATTATTTGATAATGTTTTTACCAACCATCCTTCGTTCCTCCTGATGACTGTTGTTGCCTATAATATATGTTCCAGAACACCTTTGCTCAACTGTAATCTTAAAGATGATTTTGAGGTAAATTATCCTTGTTCTTCAATGTATTTTCTTTTTATAAAAATTGTTATTTATATATCATTCGTTATACATCACAACAGCTTGCAAAATGAATTTTCCCAGCATATACTGCATACCAGTCCAGTTAAAGATATTATCATACACATTATCATCAACAGACAACCCTCCATTTCTGTGTCCCTTAAATGTTTTGCCTCTATTTTTATTTTTTAATTATAGTTATTTTTTATACATTCAATTGCTATATACATCATTTAGCTTGCAGAGAGAATTTACCAACATGAAATACAGCTCAGACCAGTCCAGTTGATAATACTATACACATCATCATCAACAGGTAATAAAACAGTTCCATGTTCCACAAATGTCTTACCTCTCTATTTTTTCTCCCTAATTACCTTCTCTACACTCTTCCCCTCTCCCACACCTTCCACACTGTCTCCAGTGCCCACAACTATTTTCAATGCTTTTATGCCCTCCAATCTTTCAGTCTCTACCATGGCATGTGGATAGTCAGTATATGTTAAGTGGAGAGACATACAATGTTTCTTTTTCATAGCCTGACTTACTTCACTCAGCCATAAATCTTCCATATTCATCCACTTTCTATCGAATGCCAGGGTCTTGAGCTTTATGGCTGAATAGTATTCCATGGAGTTTATGTGCCACACTTTTTCAATCCATTCATTCATCTGTTCATGGACATTTGGGTTGGTTCCATGTCTTACCAATTATCAATAATACCACAGTAAATATAGATGTGCAAGTGCTTTTCCAACTGAGCATTCTCCTGTCCTTTAGGTAGATACCCAGGAGTGGAACTGCCATATCATACGGTAGTTCTATTTATGGGTCTTTGAGGAGCCTCCATATTGTTTTCCACAGTGGTTGGACCAATTTACATTTCCACCAACAGTGTAGGAGAGTTCCCTTTTTACCACATCCCCACCAGCACTTATCATTTATATTTTTTTAATCTTCACCATTCTGACCAGGGTTAGGTGGTACCTCATTGTGGTTTTAACCTGCATCTCCCTTATGATGAGGGAAGTTGAGCATTTTCATATGCTTTTTGGCTGTTCATATGTCTTCCTTAGAGAAGTGTTTATTCAATAAGGTCCTTTTCCCATCTTTTAATTGGGTTAATCATTTTTTCTGCTTGAGTTCCCTGTGTATTATCATTATCAGTCCCTTATTTGGGGCATAGTTTACAAAACTACTCTCCCATTCTGAAGGTTATCTAGTCATGCTAATTACTGTGTCCTTTACTGTGCAGAAACTTCTTAATCTGATGTAATCCTACTTGTTTACTTTTGGGATTATGGCCTGTGCTTTGGGGTCTTAAGAAGGCAAACACAAGAAGCATTTGCCTACCCCAGTGTCTCCTAGAGTTTCCCAGTGTTTTCTACCAGTAGTTTCATACTTTGAGGTCTTAGGTTTAGATCTTTGATCCACTTTAAATTGATTTTTGTTAATGGTGAGATAGGGGTTCAGATTCACCTTTCTACAAGTGAATACCCAGTTTTCCCAATACCATTTGCTAAAGAGATTTTCCTTTTCCCAGTGGATTGACTGGTACCCTTTTCAAAGATCAGCTGGCTGTATGTTTTGGAGTTTATTTCTGGGGTCTCTGTTCTGTACCATTGGTCCACCTGTCTGTTTTTGTGCCAGCACTGTGTTATTTTGAGTATCACAGCTTTGTAATACATTTCAGGGTTAGGAAGTGAGCTGCTGCCCATTCCACTCTTCTGCATAGGATTGCTTTGGCAATACAGGGTCTTTTATGATTCCAGACAAATTCTATGATCTGTGAAGAATGTCTCTTATAGTTTTATAGGGATTACATTAAATGTGCATATTAATTAGGGTAGAATTATAATTTTGATTATATTAATTCTCATAATCCAGGAACATGGGATGTCCTTCCACTTTTTTGTGCCATTTTACAGAAGGGAGAAAAAAAGGACTTTAGAAATCAAAGAACTATTACGCCAACAGAAAAAAAAAATTTTTGGAGAGGTTTTTGCTAAAGGATGCATGCGCTCACCAGAAAGAGAGAGATAGAGAAATAGCAAGTGAGAAATCACCCCCCAGGGAGGATGGGAACTATGACTGTTTGAGGCTTCTCGGGAAAGTGTGAAAGAAAGCATCAGAGGTGGTATTAAAAAGGAGAGACTCAGAATTAAATGTAAAATATTTTTTAAAATAATTATTTTATTATACTTTATTTATTTATTTAAATTTGACCAGAGAGGGACAGAGTGAGAGAGAGGGAGGAAAAGTGAGAAAGCAAGCCACCAGGTCCAGGACTTGAACCATGGTCGGCCATGTGGGGTCCAGTGCCCCTAACCACCGTGCCACCTGCCAGCCCCTAAATGTAAACTTTTTAGGACCAGCAGATAGCATAATGGTTATGTCATTGTACTCCTATGTAGTCAACTACAGTTCAAGTCCCAGACCCAGTGGCTTAAACTTACACGCATGTGTGTGTGTGCCCAAAATCCCAAGAGGAGAATGGAGGAGAAGGGCTTGTAGCATGGCCATCTCCCCTCGGGGTGAGGGGTTGATTTCTCACTTTCTGTCTCTCTGTCTCTTTCTGGTGAGCACAGGTACCCTCTAGCAAAAAAATCTCTTTCTTAAAAAAGAAAAAAAAAAAGAATTATTTAATTTTATTTACTATTATTATTTTTCAATTTGACCAGAGAGAGAGAGAGGGAAAGTAAAAACGCAAGCTGCCAAGTCCAGGACTCAAACTGCGACTGGCTATGTGGGAGTCCAGCACCTTAACCACCAAGCTTCCTGCCAGGCCCTATATATAAATTTTGAAAGTACAAAAAGAGGGACCAGCAGATGGCATAATAGTTACGTCACTGGACTTTCATGTTGTCGGCCGCAGTTGAGTCCTGGACCTGGTAGCTAAAAATTCACACTGGGCACGTGTGCATGCGCTCCTAAGATCCCGGGAGGAGAAGGGATTGTGGCATGGCCATCCCCCCCCAAGGGGTGGTTTCCCACTTTCTGCCTCACTGTCTGTCTCTATGACAAGCACACAAGCCCTATAGCAAAAATCTCTCTTAAAAAAAAAAAAAAAAGAAAGTATAAAAAGAATAAATTAAAAAGTAAGAGCAGAGGCTCTTGGCTCAGCCATGGTATGCTGGCTATCGTCACTGCTACTCTGCAGGCAGAGACCGTGCGGGAGACCCAGGTTCACTCCCAGCCCACCCTAAGAGCCCACGCGGTGTTAGGTACTTGCAGTACCAGCTTCTCTGGAGGCCGAGGCAGGAATACTGCAACATACTGAGACTTCTTTTTTTTTTTTTTTTTTTCATAACCAAAAAAAGAGGCTCTTTTGGTAGACGAGATGGATTACTTAGGGAGTTTGTGACTTATTTTGTGGTTGTCATCAAATTACACTTCAGTTTTTACTTCATGATCACATAATACATATTTTAGAATTTAGATCTGCCAGGAGAACAACGTGGAAGAATTGGGTTGTTGAGAAATCTCATGACACATTTTTGCATAGAAAAACAAAAAATACATCATGACTTTTCTGATACCCCAATATTTAAGATATTTTTAAAGACTCAAGCTTATTTATTTGAAAAGGTCAGATTATTTTGTAATTTATTTATTTTCTGTCAACCTAATATGTATTGATTTTTAAAGAATTATTATGTTATTTTATTTATTAGTAGTATTATTTTTAAATTTGCTATAAGGTATGTGTGCTCCCCAGGAAGAGACAGAGAGAAAGTGAAAAAGCAAACCACCAGATCCAGGACTTGAACTATGGTTGGCTATGTGAACTGCGTTCGGCCATGTGGGAGTTCAGTACCCCAACCATCGCAGCACCTGCTGGCCCCAGTGAATTTATTCTAAAAACTTAAATTCATATTTACATTTCTAAACAGTTGTTTTAATTCTACTTCATAATTGCTTCATTAGGTAATCCTGATGTAAACACCAAGTTTTCTTTCAGTATTTTTTTCACCATCGGAATAACCTGGATATAAATACTGTGATTAGAGAAGTTTATCGTCTCATGGACACCACGCCTACTGATATTCATCCAGAAAGCATGCTCGATGCTTTTGTCGCACTGACAAAGGGGCAGTATCCCGTATTTAATCAATATCCAAAGTTTATTGTGGACTATCAGACACAGGAACGAGAAAGAATAAGGAATGACGAATTGGATTACTTACGAGAGAGGTAATAATGGCATAATTGTTCTTGGTTAGAAATGAAATCTGTTATGAACACAGACGAGAAAGATTTTAATGAAAGCACATTTGAATTATTAAAGATATGGGTAAAATCAGAGTTTGAAGGCTGGACATATATTTAAAGACACTTAGTTGTTAGGGCCAGCAGGTGACATGGTGGTTAAGGTTCTGGATGCTGACATGTTCAAGTCCTGGACACAGTGACTTATGGGACATCCATTCTTCTGAGTGGGAACTCTATATTCCCAATCAACAAAAGAGAGAATTAAAAATGGGTAGAAAGGCAAGAAGATTTTTGTTCGGAAGTGTGCCCAGTGCCACACTGTGGAAAAGGGAGGCAAGCACAAGACTGGCCCAAATCTCCATGGTCTATTTGGGCAGGAGACAGGTCAGGCCCCTGGATTCTCTTACAGAGACGCCAGCAAGAACAAAGGCATTACCTGGGGAGAAGATACACTGAGGGAGGATTTGGAGAATCCCAAGAAATACATCCCAGGAACAAAAATGATCTTCGCTACCATTAAAAAAAAGGCAGAAAGGGCAGAGTTGATAGCTTATCTTTAAAAAGCTACTAATGAGTAATAGATGGCCACTGCTTTATTTATGGCAAAACAGAAACGTCTCACCTTTTTTATGTAGACCATATTTAATTGATTTCCTGCACCAGAACTCAGATCAGGAATGGCTGACAGGATATTTTGGTTGGACAATCAGGATTTTGGTTGGACAAAATTAAGTAAGACTGGCTTGTGGTTAAGTGAATATTGTTGGGTTTGTAAATTTTGATAGTAACTTCAGTAAGTGCTATCACGATTTGCCCTCTCTAAAGATATCATTGGTAATGCATTAGTGATGCTCATCTTTCTACAGAGATGGTGAATGCCTTCTCCTGCTAGAGACTAGATTTTTATTTAGGCTTATATGTTACTGGTTATATGAATATATAAATGCTGGAGGGATTCTTTTACTTCTCATAACCAAGCAGACTCACGTGTGTTTTAATTTGTGTTCATTAACGTGTTAAAGGCAAGGGCTGAAGAAAAGGTAGTGTCTACTTTACATATTTGGTCATAACTCTGCCAATCTAATTCGAATTCCCTGTATCCAAAACACTGCCTTTTACTTACTGAAAGACATTTCAGCGTGGTTTGTGTATACTACCAAATAAAGAATATGTCATACTTCACATATTTTATAAATGATTTATAAGGTCAGATGCTTTTGAAAGTCGTTGTGACAAGATTTAGTAGCATGCTAAATTTTACCTGTGAATTCTATGATCTAAGTCAGACTAAGTTATTGTTCAGCATTGTTAGTCAACCGTTCAAAAACCACCTAGAAACTGAAGAACTACTGTATACGTGTGGCTGGTAATGGTGCTTTTGCCAATTTATTAGAAGGATTAAAGTAGAGGAGATATACCGTCAGCATAGATTTGTAAATTGTACCATCATGAGACTTAAGATAATTAAAAAACAAATGACAGATAAAAGAAGAAAATCACTCCAAGTGTGAGTACATGCATGCCCAAAATCCTGAGAGCACACTGGAAGAGAAGAGTTTGCATTGTGACCATCCCCCCGGGGGGTGACTTCTCACTTTCCCCTTCTCTCTGCAGTGAGCGCATGCGCCCTATGGCAAAAAAAAAAAAACTTAAAAAAAAAAAAAAGATACATCGTTCTTACATATGGAAACCAAATCAATGACATTTTAATCACATATACATTCTGTATTTCGGTTATTCTTAATTACTTAGATTTCTTGTTTGTGCTTTGTAATAATGAATATTATCTACTTAAGGCAGACAGTTGAAGGTATGCAAGCTGAAGTAGACCAGCAAAGAGATGAAGAGGAAGCTTGGTACCAGAAACAAGAACTACTTCGTAAAGCTGAAGAGACCAGAAGAGAAATGCTCTTGCATGAGGAAGAGAAGATGATACGACAAAGACAGAAGTATGCCTTATCACTTAAAAAAAACCTGAACATATGAGTTAGTTGAATAATTTATGTTTTTTTATTATAAGAACAACACTTTATATAGACTTATCCAGCTGTAGTATTTCCATTAACCAGATATTTAAGTCAATAAAAAGAATCTTTTATATCACTTTTTAAAAAATTGGTATGTATTAAAATGTAATCTAAAGCTATACTAAATATGATATAACTTTGCACTGATTATTCAGAAGTAATACAAGATGTAGGGACCAGCAGATCACGTAATGGTTATGTCACTGAACTCCCACATAGCAGACTGTGGTTCAGGTCCTAGAGACTTGGAAGCTTAAAACTCATACCGGGCATGTGTGTGCGTGCGTGCCCCAAATCCTGAGAGGAGAATGGAGAAGAAGGGATTGCAGTGTGGTCATCCCTCCTGGCGGGTGATTTCTCACTTTCTGTCTCTGGCAAGTGCATGTGCCCTGTAGCAAAAGTCTCTCTTAAAAAAAAGAAGTAGTAATAAGAGATCTAGTGGACCTGGAAGGACATTATTTAGAAGCATTACTGTAGTGGGCAGAAGTGCTGTAGTAGTGTTGGATATATCATCTTGAGTAGAGTGTAGTTTTTAACTTGTGTTTTAACATATTCGTGTGACCTGATCATTGAAGCATAAAACAACTAACTCATTATGCATAATACTTTGGAGGACAAGGGAAGGAATGCTATTCAAAAGTATATTTAAGGGACCAGCAGTTGGTGTAATGACTATGTTGCTGGATTCCCATGTAATTGACCACGGTTCTAGTCCCGGACCCAGTGGCTTAAACTCACGCCGGGTATGTGTGCATGCGTGCCCAAGATCCCGAGAGGAGAATGGAGGAGAAGGGATTATGGCATGGCCACCCCCACTCGGGGGAGGGGGGGTGATTTCTCATTTCTGCCTGTCTGTCTCTGTCTTTCTGGAGAGTATACACGCCCTATAGCAAAAACCTCCCCCCCACAAAAAAAAGTGTATTAATCAGGTAAAAGGTTTAGATTAATTAAAATGATGGGTAAAGTGATAAGACTGAACCTCATTGTCAGGGAACTCACCTCTGTAAGTGTTCATTGATTCTAACACTTGGGTAGGACTTGCAGAGCAGATTTCTAGTAGGGGTAAAAAGGAATTACTGGGGACCAGCAGATGGCATAATGATTACGTCACTGCACTCCCACATAGTTGACCATGATTCAAGTCTCGGACCCGACGGCTTAAAAGTCATGCCGGGCATGTGTGTGTGTGTGTGTGTGTGTGTGTGTGTGTGTGTGCGCGTGCGCACAAGATCCCAAGAGGAGACTGAGGGAGAAGAGATTCGGTGGTGTGGCCATCCCCCCTAAGAAGTGGTTTCTCACCTACCATCTCTCTGTCTCTCTCTGTCTCTACGGCAAACACACATACCCTATTCCAAAAATCTCTCTCTTAGAAAAAAAGGGGGGACCAGCAGTTGGTGTAATGGCTATGTCACTGGACTCCCATGTAGTCGACCGCGTTTCGAGTCCTGGACCTGGTGGCTTAAACTCACGGCGGGCGCGTGTGCATGCATGCCTATGATTTTGAGAGAACGGAGGAGAAGGGATTGCGGTATGGCCATCCCCCCTGGGGGGTGATTTCTCACTTTCTGTCTCTCTGTCTCTGTCTCTCTGGCGAGTGCACGCACCCTACAGCAAAAACCTCTCCAAAAAAAAAAAATTAAAAAAGAAGCAATTACTGAACTAAGCTTTTCATCTTCAACTCCAATTCTCAAAGAATAAGTATACATCACCTTCGCTAACATTGGAGCATATTTTTTTTAGCATCCTTCCTTCAAATAAAAGGTATCAGTTGTATTAAAGTGATCTGAACAGTAAATCTGTTAGAAGTGTGAGAGTGAAGGGGAAGAGGACAGCCAGTTCGTGCGACCCCCCGTCGTTTCCATGAGTGCAGACTTGTGGGGTTGGTGCCTTTCACTTACGCGTCAGGGACACAGTTGTCTCACAGTGGTGCCAGTAAGTTGGGGAAGTGATCAAAATAGGTAGCAGGCAGCTGTTGTAAAAAATTAAATCTCTTTTGGGAAATGTTATATTTGTTTCTCTTGATGTATTTTGTGTTTAAGGCTAGCTGCTGTGAAAAGAGAGCTGAAAATGAAGGAAATACACTTACAAGATGCTGCGAGACGGCGTTTCCTGAAGCTTCAGCAGGATCAGCGAGAAATGGAGCTCAGACGCCTGGATGATGAGATTGAGAGAAAGGTTTGTTATTCCTGTCACCATTATTGTCATTAATTGTAACGAACACCTTCATATAATATTTCCAGAGTCCGCAGTCAATACTACGTGGCCCCTTTAATTTTCTTTACTTTTCCTCTCAATTATTCTTACTTTCTTTTACTTTTTATTTATTTTTTTAAGAGGTTTTTGCCTTAGGGCTCATGTTCTCACCAGAGAGAGCCAGACAGACAGAGACAGTGAGAGGGAAAGTGAGAAGTCCGCTCCTGGGGGAATGGCCATGCCGCAATCTCTTCATTCTCTGCCCAGGATGTCGGGCACGCATGCACATGTGCCCGGCGTGATTTTCAAGCCACCAGGCCCAGGACTCAAACTGCTGTCACCTCTTTGGGAGTCCAGCAGTTATGATGTAACCACTGTGCCATCTGCTGGCCATCTCTTTTATATTCTATTAGTGATTAAAATTTTAAGAAATTCTAGGGCCAGCAGGTTGCGTGGTGATTAAGGCACTGGACTCCAAGTGGTTCAAGTCCCAGATCTGGCAGCTTGCTTTTTCACTTTCCCTCCCTCTCTTTGGTGAATACATGTGCCCTATAGCAAATTTTAAAAATAATAATAATAATAAATAAAATTAAATAATTATTTTTTTTAATTTAAGAAATGGGAATAGGAGATGGCATAATGGTTATGTCACTGGATTCCCATTTAGTTGACCATAGTTCGAGTCCCAGACTGGGTTACTTAAAGCTCATGCCAGGCGCCTGTGCTTGCATACCCAAAATCCTGAGAGGAGAATGGAGAAGGGATTACAGTGTGGTCATCCTCCCAGGGGGTGATTTCTCACTTTCTGTCTCTCTCTCTCTCCAGTGAGCACATGCACCCTATAGCAAAAATGTCTCTTAAAAAACAATTTTTTTTTTTTGAGAAATGCCAAGAAATTTAATCAAACTGACTAGACTCTTTGGTGACTGTTTTTCTAAACATAGAATTATCATTCTCAGTTAACTACTTACTTAATTATGAATCAGAGGAAGTACTCTTTTAATATAAAAATTTACCCGTGGCCAATATAAAAAGAATTTCTAGTACAAAATATATGAAGTTAAAATAGACCTTCTCCACTCTTTTTCATTACATCCTAGAGATAAAGTGCTAAAAAATGATGACACAGTCTATCAGGGACACTTCTATAGATAGAGGAATAATTATACTATTCTTTTGTATTCATACAAAAATAGGTCTATTCTCCTATACCTTGTTTTTGTGACCTACTTGCTATAAGTGGTATATGTGATTGTCTTATTATTATGATATATATGTGTCTATTTCTATGTTTATGGTTGCATAGTCTTCCAGTTCATGAATATTCCAGAACTTTTTAATCCTTTGCATTGGATATTTAGGGTATTTGCAGTGTTTTGCTACCCAACACCATGGTCTGTTATAACACAAATTTTTGAGTATTGTACACATATGTTTATTGAGTAAATGCCAACTTATATCAGATTGTGCTCCAAAAATGAAAGTTTGGGGCTGAATCAGTCTTAACGCTTGCCAGACTGATAGGTAATAGTCTATTTTAATTCACCTTTTTTAAAAAGAATTATTTATTTTTATTTAACTTTATTTAATTACTTTTTTTTTCTTTAATTTGAAGAGAGAGAGAGAAGGCCGCTAAGTCTGGGACTCAAACCGTGGTCAGCTGTGTGGGAGTCCAGCGTCCTCCACTACGACACCACCTGCCTGCCCCTAGCTCCCATTTTTGTCCCCTTGTTAGTGAGGTTGAATATGTGTACAATTATTTATCTTCTATGTGTAGAAGAGCTACGAATTACATACTCATATCATTTGTCCATTTTCCTATCAAGTTAGCCTTTTTCTTTTTGATTTACAAGGGTTCTTTGTGTCTCTGGAAGCAACATCGTGCAATAGAAATATGACGTAAGCTGGTTCTGTGGCACAGAGGTAATGTGCTGCTGTCAGGGGACCCTGAGTCCCACATGGCAACAATAAGTAGTTCAAGTCCCCGGCCCGGTCAGCCTGAAACCCGGTCAGCGTGTACGCAAGTGCCCGAGGTCCAAGGGGACAGAGGGCTGGAGGAAGGGGATGGTGGTGTGACCAGACCCGGCGGAGGGTGCTCTTTTCTTTCCCTCTTCCTCCCTCATGTGTGAATGTTCATGCTCTGTCATGAGTAAAGAGGAAAAAAAATTTTAAATGATGCAAACCAACTAAATAGTTTTAAGCTTTCTAGAGCTAGAAATTACTACAGAAGAACTAAGTAAAATTATTGTAATAACATTTCATTCAATTCAGTATATTTGATATTGTCATTTTGGCTTCTAATCAGTTTGAAAACATTACTAATGAGATATTTACCCTTGTTCGAACCAAGATTTTGAAATCCAGTATTTCATTTTACATTTATAGCACATCTCAGTGTGGCCTAACACATTTTCAGTGCTTAATAGACACATGTTGGGGCCAGCAGGTGCTGTAATGATTACACTGGTCTCCCACATGGCTGACTGCAGTTCGAGTCCTGGACCCAGTCGCTTGCATGCTTGCCCAAGATCCTAGGAGGAGACTGGAGGAGAAGGGATTGTGGCATGGCCATCCCCTGGGGAGATGATTCCTCACTTTCTCTCTGCCTCTCTTCTCTCCGGTGAATGCACAGAGAGAATATATACCTTATTTTTTTAAAGGGAGAATATTTTGCTATAGGACACATGTGCTCACTAGAGACACAGAGAGGCAGAGAAAGAGAAAATGAGAAATTACCTCCTGGAGGGATGGCCCCGCCACAGTCCCTTCTCCTCTTATCTCCTCCTGGGATCTTGAACATGCACACACATGTGCCCAGCATGATTTTCAAGCCATTGGGTCTGGGACTCGAACTTCAGTCAGCCTCATGGGAGTCCAGCACCTTAACTAGTATACAACCTACTGACCCCCTGAATTTATTATTTTTAAAGTATATAGGATATAATGTATATGACCGTATTTATATAAAGGGTCATAAAGTTTTATTGGAACACAGTCATACGCATTTGTTTACATATGGTTTGTGGTTGCTTCTGCACTACACTCAAGAGGTGAGTAGTTATGGCAGACTGTCGGACCATGCTGTTTAAATGATGGTAGTTTTGTAATGTTTTACCAACTAGGGTTAAATTCCCACTCATCAGTCTTTCCCAAGTATTTTCAAGTATTTATCATTCTGAATAAGCTTTGAGAATCTTACCACTCTCTCTGAATCCTCATTCGTTACATCTTACTGGATTTTTTATTAGGATCACACTGAACTTAAGCACTAATTTGGAGAGGTCAAACCTGACTTGATAAAACACTATTTTTTTAAGTCTTTCAAAGTACTTTTAATTCATCTGTATTAGAAATCTATTTTCTTTTTATAGCATAATACTTCTCATTTTGTTTAAAGCTAATTTTAAATTGTGTCTTTAAATCTGTGATCCCTTTTAATTATCTCATCTAGTCAATGGGATTGTTATCTCATTATTCTAGACAAGTATGTATTCTTTTCTAAAAGTAATACAGGCTCAGCACTGACATGTTCGTTGTTTGAGAATAGAAGAAATCACTTTTTAGTCAGAGACCCCTATAAAGTCCCTGCATTGGCATGGGCTGGCCTCAGTGCCCCCCCGGCCCTCTGTCCTTCCAGCTGCCTTGTCTGACTTGTGCCCTGACCTGCCAGGCTGCAGAAGCCCCTCTCACAGTTCTGGCCCCATCAGGAAAGATTGCTTGGTCCACAGTAACACGTCCACGTGACTGCAGTTGTGTGTTGGCAGCAAGCAGAGCGTGTCTGTTTCCGCTCTGGCAAATAGCTGTTCAGAGCTCTGAAAATTCGTCAGCAAAAGAGCTCCTGCAATTGAAATTCTAAAAAGTGACCTTCGCTATGTGAAACCTCCCTTTACTTCTTGGCCTGACTGCTCTTGCTTCATACACCCAAGCATCCCTGTCTCGGCACTAGCTGCCTTCCCAATAACCGCCTTCAGTTGAACTGGGTCCTACTCCATTGTTTTGGGAGCTTTTTTTTTTTAATTCTTTGGATGTCTTTCTTTATAAAAACCGTAATATTCTCTCTTTTTTAATTTACTAGAGCTCTAGTACACTGGCTAGAGAGAGACAAGGAAAAAGAGAAATACCTCCCAGAGGGGAAGGCCACATCCCAGTCCCTTCTTTGTCATTCATTCTCCTTTCAGGATTTGGGACACGCATGCCCGGCGTGTTTTTCAAGGCATGCCATGAGGTCGGGGACTCAAACCACATAGTCAGCCATGCAGGAACCAGCCACTTTAACCACCGTGCTACTGGGCGGTCCTCTTGATTTTACTTTTTTCCTGTTACAGGTCTTTGATAGAGTGTCCTGTCCCCTGTTTTTAAATTGCCAGAGAGCATGAACACTCACCAGAGAAAGAGAAAAGAAAGCATCCCCCCCACCACCACCGATGGGGCTTGGTCACTCCACAATCCCTTCTCTTCCACTTCTCCATCCAGTTAGGATCTGGGGCATGAACACAGGTGCACACAAGCCCAGTGTGTGTTTTACAAACCCCCGGGGCTGGGGTTCAAATCTCGGTCAGCCAGGTAGGCTCTGACTCCTGTAACAACCAGGCTACGTGGTCAGCACAGATAGCACATCTGTAATTGACAGCTCTCCAACACTTAATCTTGTGAATGCTAGCATTAATGTAATCATCCGATTACATTAGTAGGATTAATCAATGGGCATAGACAGTTAATTGGCTATAGTTTTTGTTCTTTAATTTGCCAGATCGCATGCGTTTGCCAGAGAGACAGAAAGGGGAAGTGAGAAAGCACCCACATAGGGCCTGGTCATATCACAGTCCCCTTTTCCATTTCTCCTTCCTTTTGGGATTTTGGGCATACATGCACACACGCCCAGTGTGTTTTTCAAGCTGCCAGTCTGGACTGTACATTGCAGTCGGCCATGAGGGATTCAGCAGCCTTAACCACCACACCACGGGCTGGTCCCAGTTATAGTTCTCTTACAATATCTCTGCATTTTTGACTCTGATCCATCAAATGAGGTGTTTTGTTTTTTGTTTGTTTGTTTTGTTTTTGTTTTTGAGAGATTTGTTGCTATAGGGCACTTGTGCTCACCAGAGACAGAAAGTGAGAAATCATCCCCTCAAGGGGGGATGGCCACGCCACAGTCCCTTCTTCTCCATTGTCCTTTTGGAACTTTGGGCACACACATACCATGCACCTAGTGTGAGCTTTAAGCTGCCAGGTCCAGGACTCAAACCACAGTCAACTACATGGGAGTCCAACAACGTAACCACTACGCTATCTACTCACCCCATCACATGAGATTAAGGTGTAAAATGTTCAACTTGTGATGTCATGTTGATACTTAAACAGCTTTGGATTTTAGAGCATTTTGGATTTTCAGATTAGGGATGCTCTTCGTACCTGTATTTAAGGTGATTTCTTAGATTCTCTTTTCTGAGAGTACCTTATCCTCTAGTATACAGGAGTGAGAAGCGCCACGTAATCAAATTTGCGGAAAAGGCAAACTCTAATTGAATAAATTCATGCAGAACACATACAAGTTGAATGGGCCACTATAAATTTAAATCTGAAGTTATTAGTTATCAAACTAAATTTATAAAAGTATAGATGTTTAATAAAAAGAGCAGTAAATAAATGGTATATGTAGTAAGATTAAACACTATATATATTTTTTAATCTCCCTCAAATTTATATTGCTCAGGGTTTTTAAACTTACTGTAATATGGTGAGAACTGCTGTCTGGTCTTGCAGTCTAGCTGGGTGAGCATATGGTAATTGTGCTTTTTAAAATAGAAGTTAAGCTTAGCTTTAACTCAGAAGTTATTCCTTGTTTCCACAGTGAACGTTAGCATATCATCAGTTATCCTGGTTTTTTTTTTTTTTTTTTGAGAGTTTTTTCCTACAGGGCACATGCACTTGCCAGAGAGACAAGAAAGAGACAGAGAGACAGAAAGCGAGAAATCACCCCCCAGGGGGGATGGCCACGCCGCAATCCCTTCTCCTCCATTCTCCTCTCTGGATCTTGGGCACACGCACCCAGTGTGAGTTTAAGCCACCGGATCCGGGACTCAAACTGCAGTCAACTACATGGGAGTTCAGTGACATAGCCATTACGCTAACTACTAGTCCCAGTTATCCTGGTTTCAAAATCCAATTCTTACTAATTTTTTTTATTTTAAAGAATTATTTAATTTTATTTATTATTATATTCTTATTTTTATTTGCTATTGGGCATGTATGCTCACTAGAGAGAGAGAGAGAGAAAATGAGAAAGCAAGCAGCCAGGTCCAGGATTCAAACCATGGTCAACCATGTGGGAGTCCAGCATCTTAACCACCACACCATTTGCTGGCCTCTGATTCCTGTTACGTTAAATACTGTTAGTGTGTTGTTCAGATGACAAGATTCCTACATCTATTAAATAGTAGCCTGTGAATTCTTTCTGGTGTTCATAGTTTGTTGTTCGGCCATAGGTGTATATGAGAGATCAAGAAATTGCTACCACAGCCAAGGACCTGGAAATGAGACAGCTGGAACTCGAATCACAAAAACGACTTTATGAGAAGGTAAAACTCAATTATTTCTAATATGAGGAAAGCAGCCTTTCTTAGACTGTATTCATTCATGATTTTCTAAAATGTTCACTTCAGTCACTTTTTAAACAGTGTAGTTTCATTCAGGAGTATAAGGTAGCCAAATGTCTAAATGTACAGTTTGTTGTAATTCTTTCTTTAATTCGTGTTTCCGTTAGAAGCTTAGTCTGGTTTCTGAAGCACCAGATGTAAGCCCCAGATTTTGCCTTAGGATCTTCTGCCAACTTTCTAAGTTTTCCTGTATTTCTGCAAATTATCCCAATACCTCACAAAAATCAGGGGAAAGCTGTGAAGTGCTTTAGATTTGGCTCTTCTGGAATCAAATCAGCAAATATCTACTTAGTATATTGGATTCACTTTTCAAGACACCAGGAAAAGGATTTTTGTTAATATATATTTTTATTACTTAGGGGAAATATTTTGTTATTCATTTACTTAGTGTTGGGACTACTCAGTTTTCACTTCCTTTGGCCCTCCTATATTGAGACTTTGAGTTTGAAATTAGTGATAACGGGGACCAGAGGATGGCGTAATGGTTACACTGCTGGACTCCCACATAGTTGACTGTGGTTTGAATTCTGGACTCAGCACCTTTAAACGCATGCTGGGCACCTGTGTGTGCGTGCCCAAGATCCCAAGAGGAGAATGGAGGAGAAGGGATTGCTGTGTGGCCATCCTCCCTGAGGGGTGATTTCTCGCTTTTTGTCTCTCTGTCTCTCTCTGTCTCTCCAGTTAGTGTACTTGCCTTATAGCAAAAATCTCTCCCTTAATAAAAAGAAGAGAAAAGAAATTAGTGATAGCAGAAAGTTCTTAACAAGTAAGAATTGCTAACCACAGGGCCAGCAGGAGATGTTGGACTCTCACATGACTGACTGTGGTTCGAGTCCTGGACCTGGTGGCTTGAAACACACCAAGTACGTGTGCACGCATGCCCAAAATCCTGACAGGAGAATGGAGGAGAAGTTATTATGGCATGGCCATCCACCCTGGAGGGTGATTTCTCACTTTCTGTCTCTCTCCATCTTGCCAGTGAGCACATGCACCCTTTAGCAAAATCTATTTAAAAAAAAAAATTGCTATCCACGTTAAATAATATTCAAGACATATAGCACCCATTCATATCTGTAACACATTTAAGTTTCCATGTTGAGTTTCTCCTAGAACAGAGCAAAGGGTTTATAGTTTGACTAAGTCTCCTATGATTTTGAATTAGATATAATTCCCTTGGAGTAAGTTAAAATTTACTTTCTACTTTCTTTTCCTTGGAATGGGGTTGGGACCTATTTAACATTTTGCTAACTTCGCTTTCTCTCTTATACATACCACACACTTTTTTTCCTGAACTGTTTAAGAGTTAAGTTGCAGGCATGATGCCTCTTCACTACCGCATACTTCAGGTCATAGTTCCTAAAACCAAGGAATTCTCTTACAGAACCACAGTACAGTTATCAAAATTAAGAAATTAACATACTAGGAGGAGACTGGAAAAAGCTCATGAAAAATAGAATTAAATTACAAGTTTATTTTGGTGCAAAAACATTTTTAAATCCATGCATGGTTTTACATAATGCATATTTTTCATGACTTTTTGAAGACCGCTCGAAACCTTACTCAGATTTGATTCATTGACCCAGAAAATGCCCTTTAGAGCAAAAGAAAATGTAAGATTTTTTTTTTTTTCAATTGCCATGTGTCTTTAATTTCCTTTAAACTGGAACCATCTTTCTTTGTATTTCATGACACTGGTATTTTTTGAAGCACATAGGCCAGATAAAATGCCTCTCAGTTGATGTTTGTGGGTTCTTCATGATAAGAGTCAAGTTATGCAGCTGCCAGAAATGTTAGTTTTTTTGTTTTTTGGTTTTTTTTTTTTTTTTTTGGAGAGATTTTCACTGTAGGGCGCGTGCGCTCGCCAGACAGACAGAGAGAGACATAGAGACAGAAAGCGAGAAATCACCCCCCAGGGGGTATGGTCACGCTGCAATCCCTTCTCCTCCATTCTCCTCTCGGGATCTTGGGCACGCACGCACACGCGCCCGGCGTGAGTTTTAAGCCACCGGGTCCAGGACACGAACCGCGGTCGACTACGTGGGAGTCCAGCAACATAGCCATTACGCTAACTGCTGGTTCCCAGAAATGTTAGTATTTTGAACAAAGAGAAGTTCTTTTTGTGTTCTAGCATTATTATATAGATTGGTGACTTTTTAAAACACATTTTAAAAACAGAATCTTATTAGAAATCAAGAAGCTGTTGCAAAAGAAATACGAGAAGATGCAGATACCCATAGACGAAAAGTAGACCTCGAAGAGCACATGTTTCATAAACTGGTGGAGACGGGTCAAGCTCGGAGCCAGAAAGCGCAGAAGGTAAAAACACGGTACATTTAGTGTATCTAGCAAGGGGGGGTTTTCACCTGTTGTTCTTTTAAGAGAGTGAATTCGAATTAAACTCTGTAAAATTGAGTTAATGCATTTTTTTCTTTTTTTTTTTTTTTTTTTTTTTTATAGGGTCATAAGGTACATGGGCTTACCAGAGAGAGAGAGAGAGGGGAAGTGAGAAATTACCCTCCAGGAGGAATAGCCACAATCCCTTTCTCTCCAGTCTCTTTTCAGGATCTTGGGCACAGGAGCCCAGCGTGATTTTTAAGCCGTTGGGTCCAAGACTCGAACCGTGCTTGGTCATGTGGGAGTCCAGCGCCTTAACCACTATACCACCTGCTGGTCCCAAGTTAATGCATTTCTTTGCTTCTATTCTCACATTTCCTGGACTCACACATTGCTATTTTATTTTCACTGACAGTCATATACATGTATCTTTTTTTTTTTTATAGAGAAGGGAATGCAGTATGGCCACCCCTCCTGGTGGGGAGGTATGATTGCTTACTTCCCTTTTTTTTTTTTTTTTTGGAGAGGTTTTTTTTTTTTCGCTATAGGGCGCGTGCGCTCGCCAGACAGACAGAGAGAGACATAGAGACAGAAAGCGAGAAATCACCCCCCAGGGGGGATGGTCACGCCGCAATCCCTTCTCCTCCATTCTCCTCTCGGGATCTTGGGCACGTACGCACATGTGCCCGGCGTGAGTTTTAAGCCACCGGGTCCGGGACGCGAACCGCGGTTGACTACGTGGGAGTCCAGCGACATAGCCATTACGCTAACTGCTGGTTCCCTATACATGTATCTTTCATACCCTTCGAGAGTTTTAAGGCTTTTAAGAAAATATAAGGAAATAGTACATTTACAAATTATACATCCTACTGTGTTATCTCAGAAACCGCCCCTGAGTAGATTACGATGCAGAATCTCAGGTCTCTACTTGCTCTGTCAAGCCAGCAGTTCCACAGTGTATTCAGTTAAAAAGTGGAATGGTAATAACCATTGTTCACCAAAATGGGGGATGATTAAATGATGATTGGAAATGCTGTCTTAAAGTTAGGGTTTTTGCACGACAAATTTAAGGATACTGTGCATTGTGAATCGCTAAGAAAATTTCCAGACATATTTTAGAAAATGTTTTACAGAGTACTCTTTCAGAAGTGATGATTTAAGTGAACTGAAATAGAACTTGAGAAAAAATTTTCTGTTATCCTTTTAATACGTTAAATGGTTATGTGTCCAGGCCTAGCCTAGTCCAAAAGCAAGGAGTAGTGGAAACTAGAGACCTTCTGTTCTATAGCAGTCCTTAGCTGATTCAACCAAAATACCGCACTATTTTTTTTTTCTTACCAGTTTCTGTCCGTCTATAAAAATGGCCTTTTCTGACTCTTTTCAAAGTCTTGAAAACATGGAAATAATTCAATCCCACCCGTTCCCTACCTTAGAAGTTTTCAACCTTGTCTGTACTTTAGAATTGAAGAGGGTTTTTTTTTTTGGGGGGGGGGGGTTTTAAC